AGATTGCCACGTGTGGCTACGTTCAGTGTCCCCAATGCAATACGCTGAGACCTTTCCCACATACTTTACTGTTTTTCCGCATTTAAGTCACGTGGCTCAGTCGATGAAAAGGTTTTCCAGATTTCAGCAGCATGCTGACTGTAGGCACAGGTTCGGTTTGCTAGAGCGCCTCTACAGTGCGTCAGTCTTAGCAGCCAGGCCTTTTATTTGCCGCCAGTAGTTGAGCCAGAGGTGATATAAGGCTCACTGGCACTCGCATTTTGCGAAGAAAAACAATATGAAACCCTCTTGGTGATCTAGCCTGCTCAGCCGCCAAGAAAGATGCGTCATCAGGCCTATTGTCACTTTGGTGCGTGTGGACTCACCTAAGCTAAATCAGTCTATGCGACAGCTGTAAGTAGCCCACAAGCTGACAAGTAGCAAACGCGTACTTTCGGTAATTCATCAGCAAGCCACTAAACTCACAGGGATAATGATTGTGTAAACCATTGGTTTGGATCTGAAATATCGCAAGATGCTTTAGGTTCTGTGTTTTATACCCCGGAGTCACGGTTGTGGCTTTGCAAATGCTCATGAATGCTACTAGATATCGATCATTGATTGATCTGAAGTATTTGGTCCGATTAGCAGTCATGCCACTAACGTATCAATCTCAATGAGCATTCTTGATGCGTTTCTATAGTCGCATTTACCCAAGGATTTCTGATTTTTCAACCGATGCCAGTTGATCTAGAATACTATTGCATGCGGAAGTCTTGCGTTTGTGAGCATATAAGTCGCTCTACGTTTTGATCAATTGAAAGGAAGAGAAATATAGGTGACAGTGAAGCTGGAGCCTTCGAAGATCGACCTGTTTTCCTCTTTCATGTAAAGTAATTGTTTTCAGCTCTGCTTCTGAAAGCCTGAGGAGTGCATGTTCTGCAGTCGTGCATGCGTCTTAAGAATGGCAAATCTTCCTTCTATCTTTTGACTGCACAACTTTAGTTTAAAATAGTATGGCTCTTATTTACTACATCATCTGGATATATATCTCTGTTAATTTCCTACAACCTGGGGTTGGCTCTCCAATCCGAGTGAATTATCTCCCGAACACTAATATTTCATCATAATGCATACAATTAGATTTACCGACGGATCACGACAGGGAGCAACTGAAAGGAAATCAGTCGCTTAGGTCATTATTTGTTGGAATTCCCTCATGTTAGGTATCGGGTCTCGGATTTTATTGTATCAGCCTGCAGGCAGTGCTTTTGCTTTGAGTAAAACGGATTTATTTCTTGAGGATGAAATTTTGTTGACTTGCATATTACTTAGCGGCTTCATGACTCATAAGAATATGCATAGGACAACGAAATTCCTCGCCTCCCTGCGAAGGACCTGAGAAAAACGAATCCGTCTGTCCTTGTATGTAAGGCATAACCGGTAAAAGTGAGAATAAATTAATTGGTTACAAAGAAGAAACTTCATGCTGGTTTGTTATGCAAGTATAATACACTTTACTTAACGAGCATATTTCAACTCTATAAAAAAAACGCTTTTCAAAAGACTATCTATACAATTTACGCATTCATATTAAATTCTCATCTGAATATGCGCGTCTAAAAAAGTTTAATCAGGTTTCACTCAGTCGTCTTTGGACTATAAATATACTAGTTTAAATTATTTATTCGAGGATTGACTGACATTTATGTGCACAATTGCACCTTTTTATGTGTGCTGATGTTTGATAACTGCTCGATGGTGTCGCTTTCACAAGGGCAATGTGGCTCCTGGCCAGCTACTATCAGATAGTTCTCATATAGGCATTTTACTAGTGAAGATCGATCAAGTGTCCCATTAAATTCTCGCGGATATCATCGAATGTGATGTCTATAAATCGATGCTCGACTAGTTGACGTTCCGGAGTCTGCGCACTTCTGCATCATGCACACATCATCGCTCATTGTGTACGTGAAGTTAAGCCGCGCGTGAAATCGAAGGGTCACAGTGGCCTAGACTGAACCTCACAGTGGCCTACATGACCTAAATACACATACCGGCTGATTTTATGACCACAGATCGCGGAAAGGCTGTGACTACGTCTCAGGCTACTGGGTTCGCTGACTCTCTCCTGTCTCTCAACCTGGCGCTGGCGAATGCCTACAATTTCCGTATGCATGCACGTGCGTACAACTTGCTCTGCGCAGGCACACCTGAGCAAACATGTTGGTTGAGCCTTGTAACTCGGTCCTGCAAAATCGTTCAAGCATATATATCTAGATATATGCTTGAGAAACAAGTTGGGAGAATAGGGTGGAGACTACTTGTTCTTTTGGTGTATAACTGTTTGCTTTGCTACCACCAAATACTCCCAGTCCTCGGAGAATTTTCTCATCCATTCGTCTGTGCCCCTAAGCACTATCGCAACCGCCATCTCGAATTGGCTAGCCCAACTCTCAGTTTTAGGAGAGGTGAAAGTTATTGCGAAATATGCCTTTGTAAGACTTATCATGACTAGGTCATGACTGCTATTGATTTCTGCAACGGATATTGAAACTTAAGGTGAATAAAAGTGTTGTCTCAGCAATCGTATCACCTTCTTCTCACTAAGCATTACTGTTTACGCTGGATATAGAAAAGTACCTAATTATTGAAAATTGTAAGTTTGGAGCACTTGCGGGAAGCCTCGCCATTAAAAATAAAATGTATGCGGGTTTAAACAGCGAAGGGAGATCTCCAGCAGGTTTACTTGTTTCTGAGACTCCCGCAGAATTTTGCCGTGAGCTCACTATCCAATCGCACTGATATTAACATTTGTTACTTTAATATTATGAAGCTTTAATAAAGACGATAGACTTGCGTTCAGAAGAAGTATATATGATCACTCGAACAAGAACTTTGTTCGCCTGACGTTTCGGATTCATGCTTAAATCCATCAGCAGAGACACCATCAGATATGGGTAATTCGTACATAAGAATTCGTTATTCTACGGTATGGCTCGGACAATTGACGGCTTTCCCGTGATCGAGAATCATTGCCCTGTCACGTGCTTCTCCCTCGATGGCCGGCCTGCCTGTTGTTGTCGAAACTGTCTTACTCGTATTGGATGCTCGTGTGATGGTAGCACGGTCACCAGCCTCATCATTCTCAGCACCGAATATGGGGTTGGGAGACCATTGCTC